CACAAGCACCCGTAACCCATTGATAAAGAGTATCTTTAGAACGCGAACGACACCACGGTTGCCAGCCTTTATTCCATTCAACACCATAAGTCCCATCCCAATTTTGGACTTCACTACCTAAAAGCGATCTCTTCACTTCCAAATCTATTTCTGGCTCGAATTCTTGATAGGCAACTCTGAATTTTTTAAGAAATGAAAATCTGAAACTAGCGTTGGTAATGGAATAAATTTAACGAACATTTATATTCATAATCGCCTTTAATCCAATGCGTTTGATAGCAACTGAAACTTGCTACATCTCCTTCCAAATAGGCCGGTGCCATTGCAGGTGTTTTCAGCATATATGATGGATATTCGATCATTATTGCACCGCAACTATTATCTGCAAGAAACCACCTATCAGCAAAATACGTACCGTTTATACCACATCTGAATGAAAAGTCATTCAAAGCAGCTACAAAGTAGAGTTTATTGATACAATTCGTATCATTTCAAAAGCAACGCAACCAACAGTATTTCGAGCCGACAGTACGTTCCAACTGGAATATAATCCATTCTTTTTTGCCTTCAATTCCGAGAACTTTTGAATCGAGCATCGTATAGTCATAAAGACACGGCACACTTTCAACGCATTCATCCAAAACTTCACGTGGATCATTTGGGCAGCCTGATCTACCATACTGATGCATGATTTGTCGTTTCACTTCGAAAACATTCACTGAAATTTCACGAAAAAAATAAAATAAAGAGAATAATGTGTGACACTAATGGCAACGGAGTGATAATAAAACGCCAATTGGGATCAAAACAAATGCTGAATATAATCGTAAGTTATTTGCATTCGAGTAACACAGAAGAAACCTGGTTTACTGAGCATAACCGAATTCACCTTTTACATTACTTTGCAAATTATCACAAGTTTCTAACAGGCGAGTGAGCATAGCACCGTCTTTAGGATTGAACTGATACGGATACCTGAACAATAATACAAAAAACAAATTTTCTTTTAGCAAATGCAGATAAATTTCGATGATATTTTGAAAACATCACGTAATTCAGTCACTTTGAATTTTAGTACTCGGTTCACTGATAAAAACAACGTCCCAAGAGGTAATTGGTTGTACGGAATTGAGAACATTCAAAATTTTTTTCCCTCGAACAGGTCAGTGAATATAAATGGACCAAACTCGAACCGATCGAATTTTTCAGCTGTCTTGTAGACTGGTAAACTTTTGATGGCCCATTCGGGAAACACCTCATATCTTTTATCGTTTTCAGTGCTCGTCGTGAACATGTTCTCCACTTTTGATGTGCCTACAGCATTGATAATAGGTGTTTGCACATCAGGCAAACCACTTCCTGGTATCCGATCTGAAAAATTTAGCGATGATCGGAATGGTGACTTGAAAAAATGTGATGAATTAAAATGCAACTTCACAGACAATAATTTACTTTCAAGACGAGGTTCGAGCGTAATAACCACATGAGTCAATTGAAAAATTCATAACTTTGGATGATGATCAATACGGCCAATCTTAAGTGAATTGAAATCATTGTCAAATCAAAGAAGCATTTTACAATTAGCGATCAGTTGCTGTAATAGTGATGCAGGATTCACTTCGTCAATCGTAAGAGGCACATTCAGAANTGATGATCAATACGGCTTATTTTAAGTGAATTGAAATCATTGTCAAATCAAAGAAGCGTTTTACAATTAGCGATCAGTTGCTGTAATAGTGATGCAGGATTCACTTCGTCAATCGTAAGAGGCACATTCAGAAGACCGCTAACAGAATTTGGTCTCATCAATCCGGTGACTGGCGGATACTTGAACATCGAAGGAAACTGTTGACGATATGGTTGACCACCGTTCGGAGGCTGAACGACATTACTTGAATGAATCAGATGGGATGAATGTTTGAATGGAAATAATCTTTCATCAAATGCACTGACCACTCCATATCTGGGTGGTACACTCAGCTCAATATCCAATAAACCCAAACTCTCTTGATAACCAGATAATCTAGCGATATCGAGTGCATACGATTCACGAATTCGAACACCAATTTGTGCTTCCTCTAACACCACATATACTTCAGCTTGACCGTGTTCAACGTTATTCACATAAATCACTACACCTGAAGTATATCATAAAGAACGCGTTTACGATAACGCAATTGAGTAAGTAAGTGAGATGACCTTTGAATTTCTGCAACTTCATGTTATCGAAGTAGCGTATGATATTGCCAACGATCACACTTGTTCGATACCTGAACCGTCTCGTATCCTTACGTACCATAACGATCACTCGATCCGTACCAGTTGCCTCAAGAGCAATTCCGGTCACTACGGTTGCATTCGTTGGTTGCACCAAATCAGCTTGCGATAGATAGCGACCCAATAAACCTCAAATGTCCAATTCTTTCATCTGAATTAGAGAAACGATCCCGGATACAAGCTCTTCTTTCCGAAAATAATTGTTCGACTTGTTTTTTTTTTCGTGATAGTACTGAATATTTGCAGTAGTCTATAACGATTGATTAGAGAGATTTATTGAAATTAGCGTTGGCCAACGACACCAAGTGTACCAATGAAAACACGGAATGAACACCGATCAATTGCACAGATCAAACAACAAAAACTATTGAGTTTATCACTAGATTAGTACTGTTACCTTATTTATTTATCTCTAATCAAGTCCAAGAACAAAAGCGTTTAAAGAGAAATTTTTTGATTAGGTTAAAAGAAATGTTTCGAAAAATTATTACAAACATGTGTCACTTTGCTAATTCAAAAATCTTAAAAATAGGAATATTCCATGACCGTATGAATGAAAGATACCGCGATAATTCAAGTCGCATACCGAAATCCACCCTTCTATTTGGATATCGTTCGAGTCGAATTTGAATTCGCACTTCGGGATTCGTTAACGTTTTAGGAATATGAAGTAAGGTGAATACGCCAGGCTCGTTGAACACAAACTTTTGATTGTCCAACGTTGTGAATGAACCTGCTCCTTGTACATAGCCTATAATAGATATGTAGCTATGTTAGATTGGAATATCTCATCACGGAATTAATATTGCGATAACTGTTCAAAAATTACTTCAATTGATAATATTTCATATATGAATGTTTCATATGCACGCAATTGCCTTATGATGCGAGAATTGTTCGTAGAATTTATGGATTTCAATATTTTGCTAAATGAGACGTGCAATTATCTAAAAGAGATTTCTTTCTTTGATGAAAAAGTTAGCGACCCGCTTGTCACTTTCAATTTTGAATTGAAATTCACATTCTGAAGCATATTAGAACCGTCGAAAAATTCAAAGCAGTAGTAAGTAAGTTTTCTTATCAACCAAAAAAGGCTTGCTTCATCCGTTTGGTGAGACTTTCGTTTTCTCGCGCTATATAATTCACAAAGTCGTTTGCGTGAGTATCATGGCAGGAAATTTTCGATGTTCGAAGTATTGGAAATTTAAAAAATTCCTGAGTTTGGAAATTTGAATGCGGTAATCAGCGATTTTTGAAATCGCTCACGACAGAAAAAAACTTCGTACGGTGATCTATCGATTATTAATGAAGTTAACATTAACTGATACACAACATTCTCTGTTACTTGCAATATATCGCAATGGCATCTGTATTGTGATATTGACAATGACCAACTTCGTATTGACCTATAAACGGATAGGTACCGAACTCGTACGCTCGTGTTGGATATCCAGGATTGTAAGGATACTGATCAGTAATTTTTAAGAGTGGTTCATAGTTTGATTGCATCAGTGTACCTTCTCCATCATAGCAACACATTTGCCCATAGTGTGTTTCGAACGGCCTAAATTAAGAGCATTAAATAAAAACTGTTCTGTTGTTCAAATTCCAGCTGGTGTACACTAATTATGATTGTTTCTTCACAAATAAATTCAGTTCTACTTTGCTAACCATTTTAATCATACTCGTCTTATAGAGATCAAATGTGTACATTCTGATGCATCTGTATCGAATGCTTTCGATGATTCCAGTTCAGAGATTTTAGACACGAAACAAAAATGAATAAATGCTCACGGTGTGCTGTCAGCGTTAAATTGTTGCCCATCACCGGCGTAGTAAGAAGTGTAAACGTTTTGAGCGGATATATAACAGTTCTGTGAACCAAGCGTTGTATCACATGAAATATCACGAAGAATCTGAAATTTTCATTCGTTGAATCAATCGTTTATCGATGCGATCATCGGATCGAAACTCCGAACTATTGATTCAATCATATATTGACGTTAATGAACCTGTGAGCATCTTGGATGAGGCATGAAACGCCCCAAATCAATTTTTGCTTGACTTTCAACACACGGACACGATGCATTTGTTTCAGTGTAACGAATAAAATTGTATTGCGCACCGTCTTCAGCAAACCTGAAACTAATTATTGTTTATATATCAATACTGAACCTTTTATTGGAAAGGTTATTGAAGGTTATCTTTTATCTTTTAGTGAAACATCCATTTACATGATAAAATCAACAAAAACTATCGTTAAAATCAACGGCACAGTAAGCCAAACAATATATGCGATGCAATATTCTCACCAATCATGACACATCTCAGTCGCTTTCTTTTCAACGAATTCTAAACGAGCTTTTTGAGCCTGTTCACTGAAGTTATCAACATTGAACTGCTCTGCTGTATCAGTCGGTGACCACAGCCAATGTATCGATATTGGTGACGATACCAGTCTTTAATGCATGATATTAAGCTTTCACTCATTTTTCATCGTTTTTTAGATCGATTAATTTGAACAAGATTCATTTTGCATTCAATTAACATCTTTCAAATGCCTAACTGTCAGATTCAGTGCTCTCTAATTGTTGCTAAGAATGTGAATTAAGAAAACAGATTCTCTATTGCTCGCGAAAAAAGATATCTCATCGATATTTCAAGCGTGCTGACACGTTATGAAGAATTTTGAGTTTGTTTACTTGAATGTTACAAATCTTATTTTAAGCAAACACTCTTACCCCGGCAAAAGATTCAGCCCAGTGGCATCGTTTGTATCGATCGGCGCAAGCTTCATGTAACCAAATCGGTACGTGTAAAGGAGATTTTCCCGTTCCCAACTGTTTAAGTACCAATGCTCAATCTTAAAATTCATCACTCGACTCATACACTTCAAAATTCAACAAAATGTTAAAATATGTATTCTTCTATGCAACTTCTCTACAAACCGTTTTATAGTCAGAAATCAGTTTCATCAATCCCTAAAACCTTTGCGCAAAGCACTGCAATGATATCTCCCAAAATTTCATTGACTAATGAAAAAATCAAAACTATCAACGGGCTGCATGAGTTGCTTTGACGACGCAGATGTGTAATTTTTGAACGACTTAATTGAATATTTCAATATAAAAGAGCCATCGTTTGAAGAAAAACGCAGTCAAGTGCATTTGGAGAAGAAAGCATTAAAATGACATAAAATGAGAAGTATGTAAACATTTTTTGACATTTCCATATGATATGAACCTGATGTATATTGATATATTCTATTTGCGGCCTCCATCTAAATTCGTTCGAAGCAATATTCGTAAAAGTTGCTAAACGACATAGCGTTCGATATTCCGGTCGAAATTTTTTAATCTTAAATACAGCACACACTCAAATATAGCGTAAGAGAACTACGAAATAATCAAAAATTATCTTGAATCAAGGTTCAGTTGTTGAAGTTAACTTTTTAATATTTATCAAAGTCATTTTATCTTCTCACTGAAACCGTTGCTAGAGCATTCGTTTTAGTCACATTGCTGGCTAGAGTACAAAAACAAGAATCATGACTTCTTTTCTATTGCCCTTTGGCGGATTGAATGGTAGACTAGCTTAAAACCTGGTCATCTTGCGCTTCCCGATAGCCAATCACATAAAGACCGAGCTGCACGCTATAAAGTTCTTCATTCTCAACCGCCATGTAATTCTGAATCGTTACATCAGAATTTGTGAAGTTTCGTGGATACCATGAAATTGGCATTCTCTGAAAGTTGATACCAATTACGTAGCTTCGACTTATCATTTGTATTAAGCATTTTGCAATATTGTCATTGACTGATATAATTCGAGTAAAAAGAACCAGTAGTGTCCTAAATCAGAGACTAAATAAACTTACCTACCTGGAAAGGAACTGGATTTTTGAACCAATCATTCACGTTGCCTATGTCCAATCTTATTGGATCAATGGTAGGTGGTACTGAAATACTTCAATGCTACGCTAGAAGTAGTTTCACGATACGATCGAAAAGACTGATCCAAATGTACTAATGAAAGTAAATACAAACCGAAGTAAATGTATCCAACAAAGGCTTTATCTTGTTGAGCGTTCAGATTGCCCTTCTGAGCCTGGAAGTAGACTGTTTTTGTACCCCAGTCAAAAACCTTCGGTAAATAGCATCGTGCAATCGAAGGATTCATTACAACGCAGGTAGCGGATTGACGTTGTTCAATCATCAGTATGTACGTGTGCGATCTTTCTAAACACATCGCGTTCACATCAACTGTTGTTTCACCTAGCATGTTCACTATATTCGGATAGATTAACATCGGATCTGCAAATTTATATTTCACATTTCTACCGAGTATTCCATCAATTCCTGATTATATTTTGAGGAGGTTGATTCAGTTGGAATTTAAGGTGAACATTTCAATGGTTCATTATCTAATAGTAAGTTGTGAATAATGAATAAGGATTTTCATGAAAGAGTATGATGAGAATAGAAAGTTGCACAACAAAATGGACAATGTCAGATGTATAATCGCTCACAAGTTCCACCAGTTTTGTTCGAGCATCCTCCAGGTCTGACAATATCGTCGACGCGAAACATATACCGACCACGCACCATATGCGGAACACCGGATCGTTGAGCTAAGATTTTTGGTGATTCTTTGTAATGGATCGTTGGATCAACGTGTACTGTGCCTGTATGATTGCCACCGTTGAATAGCGCCTTAAAGTAACAACTTATTTAGCTGAAAAACAAACGACTGTTCACTGTTTACATAGCGAACTTATCAAATTGTGATCGAACAGCTATTCAAAAGCTTTGTTGTATGAATCTGGAAATTCGATATAAGATCGATAATCCAACAGGATAGGAATTTTGCCGTCATGTTCATGCTTTAAAGTGATGAAGATTGAATCACTATAAAGTTGCTCACTTGACAACGTCCATTTCTCGAATTGAAATGAAAATCATCAGCATCAAATCCAAGTTTATCGTAGTTCAGTATCACATAACTCAATTTCGCTGTCTATAAAATCATTTCAATCATATATCAAGCAGGCCAAGGATATACCGCAAGAGGACAGACACAGTATAGTAACAAGTTTTCAAGATGGTCATTTGGATAAACATGAAAACTGATGAGTTCTATTCCGTCGCACCTGATCAGCCAGCCATATGAGTTGATAAGTGGCAGTGCCACCCAAATCAGTATTTCCGGATATGCCAGGTGCTGTGTTCAGCCATGTTACCACTAATGCAGCGTCGGCTCGAAAAACAGATGCACCCACGACACCTTCTAAATCGAGTACTACATTTTGAGCACTCAAAATATAAACCTTCACATTCATTAGTTCTGCTTTCTTCAAATTTAACACAACAAAATTTGATTTTAAAAATCGTTCCCGAAATAATTTGAGCAATCACCTTGTAACCACACCATCATTTGCTCTAGGAAAAGATCACTTTGCTGATTGCACTGAATGTATGAATCCGGTGTGCCTTGACAAGCCTTCAAGTAGATCACCGAGTAATTATTAATATTATATGCATGTTTGTAATGATTCATTCTTTTATCTTCTGATGATGTTATCGAAAGTTGTAAGTATCAATAACATCATTTTGACAATTTATCGAATAATGCTATCAATTGCATAAGATTGGCACTGAGAAGTAAGATAATAATAATGTGACTGATTTGGGAACAGTAAAATCACAATTCAGCCTACTTGACTGGCTGGTTGTGTGAAAAATTTAGATTGCGATGACATTGCGGAAGGATAATTTGCGGTCGATTCATGACCGAATAGCGACTGTCTTAAGATCAGTCTATAATATACACCTGCTTTCATACCAGGTTGTAAATCTTGATTTACCTAAAAAGTAAATTTTATTTTGATCGTTTAGAGATGAAATCAATATCTTCAAATATTCCACTTCGCATTTTCATTCGGTCATTAAACTATGAGTCACGCTCATTGTCATAACGCCCCTCACTCATTTTTCTGCATATCGCTCATGTCATTTTTTGCTCCAGTCATTGGTTGCTCTAGTTTACTCGACACAATTCCACGATATGAGAATTAATCTTTGCGATTGTTGTTCACATTTTCTATTCAACTATTCAACGTAAAACAGAAATACTCTTCCATTCTGCCCAATTGAGTGCTGAGGAAGAATACTAAAAGAGGGTTTTGCATTGTGCGAGCGATTGAGGGAGCGTGATTGGATGGATAAATTTAGCATTATCGCTTGATTATTACAAATTACACGCTACAGTGATCGTCAGTAATGCATATGAATTGAACGTGGAGATGGTGAAGAAAAATGGACTAAGATTCACTGATAAGCAATGATCGCGGATTTATTCAATGATTAACGGAATTAAACCATTCGTCGTATAAACCTGTTGTTTGCAAAGCCATGGCGCAATCATTGCTGGATCTGGTTGCCTCGGCCAATCAGTATTTTCAACGCCAACATTCAGAATTGGGCCTTGAGTATACAACTGAGCAAAACCAATATATCCGTTAGCGGAAATCTGTAAGAAAAATCCTATTCAGATTCGCTAGCAGACGAATGAGATCGATCGTTTGGACGCATTTCGACTGAGATTTGAATGATAACATTTGCATGATGCAAACACTTATAAGCCTTTTAAAACAGCTATAACATTTATTTTTAACACAAAAATGACAATTTCCTCTGTTCTTATTTATGCAAATCGTTCAGTTGGGTGAAGGAGTAGTTGATTCCCTAAGTTTTCGACAAAACCGTTCAGGATACGGACCCACCTTATAGGCATTAGTTGCTTTTGTTTCCTATAACCGATAGTCTTATCTAAATCTAGAAAATGCATGGCTAAGACGTTCAACTCGAAGTATACAATCATGCTTATGCACTCATTCTGTTTATTGTAATATTCGCTCTAATATTTCTATTCGTCCTAATGAATCTGTCGTTCGCGCAAGAATATGTGAGTGTATGTAAAACGAAGTTTGCAACTGGAAAATGCAGTCAGTAAAATTATTGAGAATATTGATTGTATGAGAATGAGATTATTTCAGTCCAAAGCAATTATCTGATAAAATCCTTAATGAATAAGTAATTGAGTCCGATAAAACACTTACAATTGTGTAATTATAAAGACCGCCGTAGAATGGAAAATACATGTGAAGATTGATCATCTCTCCTGGATTCAACATACCTGGGAATACTTCATGATCACCGGAATCAGGCCCGAATGGGACTAAATTCACTGCAATCAGATGAGTTTTGTTCCGCGACACCAAACGCGTTGATTTCTTTACCTCATTTAACATCAGGTTCAAATCAAAAACAACTTAATCTCATTTCGTTGAGACTGCCTCTCTACCACGAACAATTCCAGTGCAGGTTTGGATACGGAATCTTTTCCTCATACTAAGTGAAACTAAATCTGTACTGGTCATAGTCAAACATTCCCTATAATTTCAGATCAATGAAACTGGATATGACAAAGATAATATGAAAGACTAGAGCGTGAACGAAAGCTATCTACGGTAGTGTAGTGCTGTATCACTGAGTTAAGTTGAAGCAATCTGAAAACAAGAAATTCTGATGAAATACTGCGGATGCAATGCGAATGAACTGTGAATTCATAAGAACAACTTGATGATGGATAATAAGATTAACCTCCATAGTATGGAGTAAATTCAAGCGCATTATGTATGCGATCAGGATTAGGACTGATTTGTGATGATGACACCTTTGGACGATGCACGGGAACTGCTGACAAATGTGGTGATGGCTCAACCGGAACGGTAGCTCTGGTCGGTATTCGTTGAGCATATGCGCTAGTTGCGGTGGTGAAATAATACAGTAATAAGAGAATATTCATTGAAAGATGTCGTTGTTGTTGGTCAAATTGAAAGATGTCAAATGTCGTTGTTAACAATTTTATTGGTCAATTTTGGTCGAATTTTTATTGAAAAGCGTTTCACCTGATATCAACACATTATTCGAGCAACAGTCAGTAGAACAAAGATATTGGAGCACAATATTCGAGTGATGTTTTTTGCTGTTTGTGAGCAAAAATGGTACCAGTGAGCTTGATAAATTCGTTGCGAAAGTTGCGCTTGTGTTCCTTGATTATTACCTGGAATGAGCCCGTAACTTCGATAGTATGACAAAGATAATATGAAAGACTAGAGCGTGAACGAAAGCTATCTACGGTAGTGTAGTGCTGTATCACTGAGTTAAGTTGAAGCAATCTGAAAACAAGAAATTCTGATGAAATACTGCGGATGCAATGCGAATGAACTGTGAATTCATAAGAACAACTTGATGATGGATAATAAGAGGTAAATTATAGCGTCTCGGTTACTCGAATGAATCATTCTTTACAAAAAATGTTTCTCTGAGACATTTTATACTATGCATATAAATTGCAGTTGTTGATTACGAATCAACAAAGAGCTTTATTTTATACACTAGTTCGTTCTATTTACTTACCCTTACTGCATCCATTTTCTAAGTGACGGATTCGAATGTATGTTTGTGCATATACACAAAGTTCCGATGCATCTCGACAATCGATCAACGAACTAGCATGTATGTGGCCTGGATTCACTAGGTAAGACAAAATAGCCGAAGAAGTCTATAAACTGATAGCTGACGAATAAACAAATAAACTGCGAATGAATTAATTCTATAGACGTTTTTCAAACACCTAAATGAACGATTAACTGTTTTATTCCTTTGAAAATATTTTTGTGCAGCTTCAGTCTTTACGAATGCAAATCAGTCAACTTCAAATATTTACCTTTCAATACTTCTAAAGTGTATGTTTAAAATAAACATTCCGTCTGATCCAAACGTGATTCACTTATAATGCAATATTTTCATTTTTTTTTCGAATTGATTGCTTTAGCTTGAAGACATGTTGTTTGATCCCAGGGAATCTTCAAGAAACAACGTGGTTTTTGAAGGAAATCATTTTAAGTTTCTTACTTGAAAGAGGTTCGTGCACGTGTTGGACGTGTCCATATTTCGTGCATTTTTATCAAATTTGTTTGTGATTTGAACGTTCCGAGTCAAAAAATGAAATGCTTACAATTTGAATCGCCGCACTGCTACAATTATCTTATCATACAAGGTATACGTCTTAACATACGTCATTACAGTGGCATTATTACGTAAGCAACCGGGTGAATCAGGATTCCTCATGAAATCTTGAATCGACACCACTTAAAAAGTTTTTCTAATCAGTTATCAATAAACAATTGGGTTGACGGTTCTTGACTTTCCCAATTTTCAACGCTTTTTCTGTACGTTTTTTGCAATTTTTATGATTCATTCGGTGTTTTCGGTGTTCAGCCAAACATTGTAAATCTACATTTGCAATCGTTGCCCACTGCACGACCAATCTTCACACTGAAGTATTGTAATATCCTATTATATGTGGATCAGTCAACATTTAATCACGGTCAACGTAACGTTGTCTGTTCGCAATATTCAAAAAACAAATTCTTATTTATTCTTTACTAGTCAAAATGAACATTTCTCCTTCTGTCATCGGGCATTTAATCCTCCGGAGAATCCTTGATTGACACTTAAAATATTTGAATCTCGTCAAAATTCCTGTGATCAACCATTGCATTTCGGATCACCTTTACCGAATTGCGCCGATTGAAAAAAGAATATATCACATACCTAAGAATAGAGGGTTGATTCGGTAATGTTGAGACATTCAACTGAATGAAAAATAATAGAATTTATCGCTTGATATTATCAGCAGCAGATGATATCATTTTAAATACACTGCAATTGTGAGCATTGATAACTCGCAACGAATCTTTATTCCATTGAAAAAATCGACGAACTAATTAACAACAGACTTCATTAGGACCAAATGAATTGGTGATAGTGATGGTAATCGACCGACGCTCGGTCAGTAAAATCCGACGGAGAGTCGCATTCCAACCCAGCAGTTTTGAAGTTCCATCGAAATGCTGAATTTCTCAATCTCAAAATGTGAACTCGGTCGTGAAAATGTGGAACTTGCTTGCTTACTTGAGACATGATTGCTAACTGCATACTAATCAATGTTATACTTCACTCATTCACACATTCTTATCACTCAGTGATTATACGATCATGCTTGACCATCACTAATGCAGTTTTATCGTGCAATTTTCATTCGTAGCTGCCTAGATTTTCACATTTGACAGTAGAAATTTCAGCTGTAACAAATAGCAAATAAAGCTTTCTCAAAGCATTTTGTATTTTTGTGGAAAACGAAATTTACAATTCAGTAAGGTTCGCATCGTTGTTCTCTGGTTTCACCTGTGCGTCGACCCTTTCAAGCTGGTCGGGAAAGGGAGTTTAAGGCGATTGGAGCGATTTCAGGAGATTTCAGGAGCACGAGCAGACTCTTGAAATACCACCTGGTCGCTGTTGGCGATCGAATTATTGGCGGTAAGTTCGTTGTTGACTTGTATTCTTAAATTGTTGCGCATTTAAGATAAAATGATGTGAACATTTTCATATCTTTCAGGTTTCAGTCAAAAACCCTCGAAAAATTGAAGTGTCACATTGCTGTGCCTATTTCCGAATTGAAATATATTGGTGGGTT